TGGGAGGGCCTATGGTGCACAGAGCACAGAGAGCTGGCCCTATTGTTGTGTGCCACCCCAGCCTGTCCTCCTCTGTGGTGACAAAGCATCTCATTTGTCTATTTCCTCACTCACAAGATAGTTCCTGGGCCTTTTTTATTTACTTATTTGTTTTAATCAGGCCACTTGCTGAGCCCTGCTGGGCGGGAGAACTGGCTCCTGCCCACTCTGGCTACAGAAGAGGCCACGTGGCCCACCTCCTGAGATAAACAGTGTGACCAGCTGAAGCCCAAGGGCTCTGCCACCCCAGCAGCACTGGCTGGTACGTGAGACCCAGGTGGGCACCATTAGTACCTGCCGCAGGTGAGTGTGAGGTTGGGGGTGGACAGGCCAGGGCCCTGAAGGCCTGAGAAGAGCTGGAGATCACCTGGGGCAAAGAAAGGGCAAGCTGGGGGCCAGGGAGGTGGCCCTGGATGCTGGGGGAGCAGGTGGCAGGAGGTGGGTGGGGTGAGGAGAGGCCATGTGGCTGTGATGTCCCATGGAGGGACAGTCTTCACAGCCACCTCCTTCTCCCCTATTCTTTTTACAATTACTGTGAGGAAATAAACTCAAAGCTTTTATCTTAAATTTTATTTGAAAACTTTTATTTTAAAATTTATTTTTTTTAAAAATAATTTTGCTTTCCAAATTATTTGTCTAAAGAAATTCATTTAATTCCACTGGCACAATCTCTCCACTGAGCATTCTTCTTGGAAATTCTTAGCAAAGGATAAAATCTCTCCTGTAAATTCTCTTCAACTACAATGGAGTGCTGTGAGATTTTTTTCCAGGACTAAATGGAACAATTAATGGACTTGACTCATTGTTAGGTTTTCTACATGTTTAATCAGACATCGACTGATTCTGATTCTGTGATGGTTTTCCTTTTCTCTTTCTATTTCGGAGCTCAGACATTTTCCAGGGCTCGTGAAGCATAAGGGGCCCGAAGGTCCGAACGGCAACCCGGTTCAACAACCCGGTTCAACAACGGGAACAAAAAAACCCGCAAAAAAAAGTAAAAGAAGAAAAACCCCCGGGCCCAAGGGTCAAAAATTCAGAGCACCGATGGCCGACTGCCTTGCTCTGTGCCTGAGGAGATGCCCAAGTGCAGGGCAGAGAACGCACAGCCACTAAGAAGAGCGAACCGGCTCTGCTCACCAGGGACAGGTATAAACCCAAAGGCACGCCCCCAGTGTCCCACCTCCTCCAGCCACAGCCCCCCTGCCTGCGCTTACCACCCAGTTCACCTACGAGGTTAAGGCTCTCATAATCCAATCACGTCACCTCCAAGCCTTCTTCATGGTCCCTCACACGAGCTTTTAGGGGACCCTCATGTGGGCCTGGTGTTCTGACTTCCATGCCTGGAGGTAAGATGGAGAAATGGAGCAGGGCCCTGGTTTCACCAGACTGAGGGAGGGGTCGGTGCTGCCGTTGTGAGCACTTCCGCGTGTTCACGGGTGGCTTTCCGTGTAAAGTGGGTCTCCTGCTCAGAAATCTGACACAAGGTGTTCCCTGAGAGACTTGGTAAAGGACAGAACGTATCTCCACCTGGAGCTTGTCCATGCCTGCTCCCCTGATTTTACCAAAGTCTCAGAGTGACCCTGACCAGCGGGTAATGAGTACCAAGTCTGCATTTTATAGATGAGAAAACAGGAGCCCGGAGAATTTGCCAAGGTTGACATGACAGAGCTGGTGGGTGACAAAGATGAAGTCCAAGGCTAGGCCGCTGGGCAGGGTCCAGCATGGAATGTGGGTGTGGTCACGGTTCTGCACAGATGCAGAGCGGGCTTCCTGGGCTGGACCACCCTGCTCCCTGGCAGGACCTGAGGCCCATCAGGAGGGTGCTGTGGTCCTCACTGTTGGAAGATGCTCGGGCCAAGCATG